TCGGCAAAGATAGCTCAATATGTAAACATAACATATTATCACACAAATTTTACATAAATAAAATAATCACTTAAATAAATCAAATAAGGACTCAATAAAAATGGGAATTCATAATCGGGGCGTTACACTAAGTCCTAACATCGTCAATGAACCGAAGTCCTGACATATGCTATGAATGCATGATGCAACACTTCACAATAAACACGACCACGACTAGTCAAATTTGCATCATCATTCATGTAATCATCATTGTATATCTCTCATAATCGTTCACACTCCATCATAGCATAATTATTCGAAATACATCATATTAATCATTTCACTTCATGTGATATAACGTAGCAACAAAAAGAAAGAAAAGAAATACAGAAGAAAAGTAAAATAAAAAAATGTCAGCTCCTGGTCGCCCGAGACTCGCCTGGCGAAGCAGGGGAGAAACGCCTTCCCCATACAAAATTCAAGGAGCACCTCTTTTTCATCCTTCCTTCGCCTTTCCTTTCGCCCAACGCTTCCAAAGAGAAGTAGCTTTGCTAGGCGAAACATATGATTCGCTTTATGAAAGTGCAAAAACAGCAACTCTGCAGTTGCGTTTTCTGCATAGTCCAGGCCCCAAAACTCTTGCGGTTCCAACATCGTTCAATTTGAAAACGCATTTAATTCACAAGATGTCACAATACAACAACAACACTTCATAATAGGCATCATATACATCATCTAATAACATTACAACATCATTCTAACACTTATTTCGTCATGAATCATCACATTACCATCATATTACTACATTCTCCCTAAAACCCCAAAACCACCTACATACATCTAACCATATATCAATTATAATGAAAAACAATACTCCCCATACCTTAGATTCTTAGTTCTGATCCTTTTATTTGAGTTTTACAATAATCTCTTAGAGCCCTAGCTTCTTCTACCTTTTTCCTCTATGTCATTTCTCCAAAACACGATCGTTCAAAAAGAACTTCTCCACTTCTATTTTCTCTTTTGTCAAACTTGCCCTTAGGACCCCTAATATGCCTTTCCCAACTTACCCTCACTAATACTTCTATAATGACCACCTTGCCCTCGATGTTTCTCCTTATTTTATTTTAATTAATAATTATAGTCTAAATAACCTAATCTATATTATTCTATTATCATTAGCTCTAAAGTAATTCTAATTAATTATTTAATTTCTAAATAATCCTATTATTTCCTTAACTCATCATCACCCTACATCACACAACAAGAACACACCATGCATAATAATTCACCAAAGTTCATCGATAATCACAAATAATTTAACAAATATTAAAATATAAATACCAGGGTGTTATAACTCTCCCCCACTTAAATAATTTTTTCCCTCAAAAATTACTTGAAGAAAATAGAGTCGGATTCAACTCCCTCTTCTAATCTTCACGCTCCCAAGTCCAACTTTCACCAGCTAGTCCATCCCACAATACTTTCACTAAAGCAATGTCCTTACCCCGCAATTGTTTTATTTCTCGACCATCAATCCGCACGGGTGATGCTTCAATAGTCAGATTATCTCTCACCTTTATATCATCCATTTGTATCACATGCGATGAATCTGAGATGTATTTCCTCAACTGAGATACACGAAACACATCATGAAGATTCACAAGCGACGACGGTAAAGCAACTCGATAGGTGACTTCTCCTATCCTCTGCATAATCTGATACTAACCAAAAAAACATGAAGTGAGCTTTCTAGACTTCAAACTCGACCCACACCATTTACCGGCGTAACTCTAAAAAAATGTGATCTCCCTCTTGGAATTCAAGTGCTTTCCTCCTCCAATCATGATAACTTTTCTGACGACTCTGCGAAGTCCTCATCCTCTCTTGGGTCATCTTAAACTTCTCGGTTGTCTCTTGCACAATCTCAGGTCCGAGTACAACACTCTTGCCTGACTCATACCAATACAATGGATTCCTACGCCTCCTACCATACAACGCTTCATACAGTGTCATTCCAATACTAGCATGAAAATTGTTGTCGTACGTAAACTCAATCAACGACAAATGACTATCCCAAGATCCTCCTTTGTCCAACACACAAGCCCTCAGTAAATTCTCCAATAACTGGATAGTCCTCTCTGTCTGACCATCCGTCTGTGGATGATATGCATAACTCATCCTCAACTTAGTACCTATCCGACACAAATACTCGAAGGTATCCCATGCAACTTCACATTTTCCTAAATGTACAACTCACCTAACTTTTGTATAAAATGATTAATCTTCATCGGTAAGAAATGAGCCGATTTGGATTCTGATAAAATGTATGCATATTCATTAAATCCTTTTAATAAATTTTCTATCCAAAATTAAATCATTTTAAAACTATAAAAGGATATTGATTATCTTAATAGCGCTTTGGATTCCTTAAAATAAGCGCATACATCTCTAGTTGATGAGCATTTTAATGTTTCTAACACTTTAGTTTAGAAGGTAGTAAAATTAGAGTTCATTACTTTTCCAACTTTAAAACTTGAAATTGGAAATCTCAGAGGACAATTAACGCATGCTATTTCACTATCAACTACAAGTTCTACTTCTTCAAGTGATAAATGGACCATTTTTAAGAAAAACCCTCACTTTATTAAAAGAAATTGAAAAGTATTTAATCTAATGTTATATGTCATTATTGTGGTGATAAAGGTCGTATTAGGTCTTTTTGTCATTTTAGGATCTTTCAAGATCCTAATGATAAAAATACATGAATACCTAAGTGTTCCTTAACTAACCCCAAAGGAACCATTAGTTGGGTACCTAAATTTCGTATTTGATTGTTTGCAGGAAAGTCTTGTCTCCACGAAAAAGTTATGGTTCCTAGATAGTGGATGTTCAAGACATGTGACAAGAAATGTTTCGATGTTCATAAAGTTCAATGAAAAATAAAGCGATCACATCACGTATAAAAAAACATAAAAGGTAAAATTTTAGGAGAATGTGTTGGAGGAAATCGCTCCACAATCACCATAAAAGGTGTACTTTTAGTTAAGGGCTTAAACACAACCTACTTACTGCTAGTTAGTTATGTGCCAAATGGTACTATGTGGTTTTTGATATCCTAAGTTGCCTAATTGAACAGAAGGAAAGTAAGACCTTGTGTTTAAGTGGTCTACGATTGATAATATCTATATGCCTTATTTGGATGATGTTTCAATGCATGAAGCTAAATGCTTAGTCACAAAGAACAAAGACTCTTGTTTATGGCATAGACGTTAAAGCCACATGCATTTTTACTTAATCAATGAAATAGGATCCAAGAATCTAGTGGTTGACCTTCAAAAAATTAAAATTTTAAATGACAAAGTATGTGTTTTAAAAATCTAGCTTCCTACATTCGTGTTTTTGATTGCAAATGTTTCATTTTAAATAATGGAAAGTACAATCTTGGTAAATTTGATACTAAGTCTTATGAAAGAGTAATCCTAAGGTACTCATCTTCGAGTAAAGCATACAGAGTTTAGAATAATAGAACATCATCGGTTGAAGAATCTATTCTTGTTGTAATTGATGAATCTTCACTCCAAAAGACGGGGATAAGTATATGTTCTGATATTTCAAGTGTGATAACGGAGAATTTGATCGATGACAAAATTTTCAAAGAAGATCATTTTTTTTACAAAAAGATGAGGACATTAATGAAGATAAAGAGGAAAACTTACATGAGGAAGACAAACAAGAGACCTCAAATCAGTTGCCTCAAGATTGCACGATTACAAAATATCATTTGTTGGATCAAATACTATGAGATATTAAAAGAGGAGTAAGTACTAGATCTCAGGTAAACAATTTTTGTAAGTATTCTGCTTTCATCTCTCAAATTGAACCTAAAACAATATTTGCTTCTTTACTTGACGATGGATGATTACTTGCTATGCAAGAAAAACTCATCCAATTTCAACGCAACGATGTTTGAGACCTTGTTTCGCGTCCAGTTGATAAAATCGTCATTGACGCTAGATGGGTATTTAGTAACAAAATGGATGAAAATTGCGTAATCACTAGAAATAATGCAAGGCTAGTGGAAAAGGGTAATGTCAAACTGAAGGAATAGACTACGAGGAGACTTATGATTCTGTAGCTCGTCTAAAAGTTATATGACTCCTTTTGGCATTCACTTGCTGCTTGAAACTTAAGCTTTACCAAATGGATGTTAAATTTGATGACGTAGGACTTTGAATCAGTGACGTTGATCTCTAATACGGTGGCGCGGGGTGGACCTTTAAGGTTAGTACTCCAACACTAAAATTAAATATAAAGTCTAAGATAAGTGTAGTGAAAACAGAAGATCAAAAAATATACATCAAATCTCAAATGTATTGACCAGATACTTTAAATAACTTTATTTGACTTTGCGCATGATTAAACACTTTTATCTGACCTTTGGCCGATTCAAAACAGAAGTGTGTGAAGTTTAATGCATAGTCGAGGTTAAAGATTCATATATTATTTTTATTTTTGTGAGATGATATAAAGCAATATGCATAGCAAAATTTGCTAAAAGTCTTCTCTCAAAATTATAATTATAGAAATATATATATATATATATATATATATATATATATATATATATATATATATATATATATATATATATATATATATATATATATATATATATATATATATATATAGGTATGCTACCATTTAGAAGAAAAAAAATACATAGCATATGTTGCAGCTTTAAAAAAAAAAAAAAAAAACTCGAAAAATGCTCCACATATTAAATATGAAAGTCGGCATCAATGATGTTAAACGTGTATTTCTTAATCTCTGTTGACTTATTCTGCAAGATATGATTATTTTGATATATATCCAGCTTTATACAACTTTTCAATTCAGAAAATATGAGAAATGTGTATGGTGGCAATGCTTTATAAATTCAGAGTTAGGACCCATAATGTTCAAAGCCCTCTCTTTTCTGGCTATCTCCCTTTTTCTATATATTATATATCAAAAGATATATGGATACCGTTCGAGTCATCTCCAAAGATATAATCAAGGCACCAAAACCATATAATCAAAACATTGACTTGACTCCATGGGATCTCTCATTCCTACTACTTGCACCAGGCAAAAAAGGCCTTCTTTATCACCATCCTGTAGAAGAAAACCATATTCTTCGACTGAGACAAACTCTATCATCTGTCCTTGTGTTTTTCCCACCCCTTGCCGGTCGTCTTGAAATAATAGAATACAAAGACAACACTGCGTCGTGTTCGATCGCCTGCAATAACGCAGGTGTACTCTTTGTCCATGCTACAACTGAGAACACCTGTGTCGCTGATATCCTTGAATCTACATATGTACCTCCTATTGTCGATTTATTTTTTCCGTTCATCGGGGTTAGAAACCACGAAGGCACGTCACAACCATTGGTGGCAGTACAAGTGACGGAGTTAGTTGACGGTATCTTCATTGGCTTTACATTCAACCATGTGGTTGCTGATGGAAAGTCTTCTGGTGATTTCATTAATTCATGGGCTGAAATCTCACGTGGCTGTTGCGATCAAATATCGAAACTCCCATCATTCGAACGTTGGTTTCCGGACGATGTTCAGCGTCCTATACGATTTCCTTTCAGTGTGGAGTCACACAAGAATGAATCTGATAAGTTAAATTTCTCGTCATTACATGACGAGAAATTTAACTTATCAGAGAGGCTGTATCATTTCACAAATGAGAAAATAATGGAATTGAAATTCAAAGCCAATGCAATGATTGGTACAAACAAAATATCTTCTCTGCAAGCGCTTTTAACACACCTTTGGTGCTGTGTAATACGTTCCAAACAACTTGACCCACAAGAAGAAGTTCACTGTAGAGTCTTGATAGGAGCTAGACTAAGGCTTCTGCCACTATTGCCAGAAGATTATTTTGGAAATGCAGGTAAAGTTGGCGGGGTTACCATGAAAGCAGGTGAGTTGTTGGAGGAAGGTGCGCTTGGTAAAGGTGCTTGGGAGATTCACAAAATGATTTCTTCGCAATCGAATGAGAAGTTCAAGGACCACTATGAATCTTGGTTAAGAAATCCAATCTTGCCTAATCCTGATGGTATAAGTAACAATAGTTCATTGGCCATTGGCAGCTCCCCACGATTTGATTTTTATGGTAATGATTTTGGATGGGGAAAACCTGTGGGAGTTCGTTATGGGAATAAATTAAATGGAATGGTCAGTGTATTTGAGGGAATAGAAGAAGGGAGCATTGACCTTCAAGTGTGTCTTCCTCACAAGATTTTGGAAGCAATGGGAAATACTATTATTTCATAGATAATGTCAAGATTTTAAATACGGTTGGTTGGCCACGGCAAAAAAAAAAGTATAATTCTTTATAGTTAATTCAACTATCGATCAAAATCGCAATTTTTTTTACGCAATCGCAACCTTTTTATAAAAACATGGGTGTTATGTAAAACCCATAATTTAAGTAAGTGTGGTTAGTTGTTTATTTTCTACTATTATATGTTTATTGTTAAATTATTGTATTTTTATTTTATTTTATTTATTCACTAAAACATGTAATAGTTTGAAGTAAACCACCAATATGTAAGTTGCAAATTTGATGTTGTGTGATCTGATTGTTAGAAAATTAATGGTAAGACAAATGGATTAAGACTAGAATCGTGAATAAATTATTTTTCTTAAAAGTATTTCAGGCACTATAATGTTTTAGAGTTGGAATAAAAGAATACCACGATAATTTAATCTATATTCGAGTTTGTATAAGATCGATAAAAACTCGAATGTGGGGAAGAGTATCTAAAATTTTAGTGAAGATGATATATGTTTTTGTTACGTTTTTCTGAATTCGAAATGAAGTATTTATAGGTCATATTGGTGTTGTTTCACAAAGTTTCGACCTTTAGTGAAACAACTTTTTACCAAGAGATACAAGTTTTAGCCAAAAGTTATTTTTATTAAAAGTTACATTGTTTCGTCTACAACAACATTTTTCAAGAGTTGCATACTTTCATTCTGCAACACTTAACGGAGTGTTACCTATTTTCAAATTCAAACCTACTGCAACATTTCACAAGTGTTTCTTATTTTTGAATTCAAAACTAATACTCACTTGCATATTTTCTTGTCATTTTAGAACACACTCAAGATTATTAATTCTTAATAATTTACAACAATTCCCCACTTGTTCTAATAATGACAAGACCAATTCCAGAAACGGAGAGGAAAAGAATGTTAATACAGTTAATATCTTTCAATTTGAACTTAACCTTATATGGGAAACCAAAATCAAGGCTATCAACCGAGACAACCTCTGTATCAACAAGGCAACCAAGGTTACCAACCAAGAGGTAACCAAGGTTATCAACAAGGATGGAGGAAAGAAGCCGGTACTTTAAATCGTCAAGGTCAATACCAAAATTAAACTCAACCTCCACAAGCTCAAAGTGGAAATTCAAAGTTGGAAGACACATTCACCCAATTTATGCAAATGTCAATTTCTAACCAAAAGAACGTCGATGCTTCTATTCGGAATCTTGAGACTCAAATTGAGCAATTGTATAAACAATTAGCCGAACAACTCAATGGAACATTTTCGACTAACACTTAAGTTAATCCTAAGGAGCATGGAAAAGCTATATTTACTAGAAGTGGAAGAGAGATTGATAGAGGCATTGATGAGAAAGTGGTGGAAGAAGAGATCGTTGTTGAAAAGAAAAATGAAATTGTTGAAGAAGAAGTTGAAAAAAATAGAGAGGAGGAGTTAGTTGAAGAAGTTGAAAAGAAAATAAGAGAATAGATAAGGAAGATTAGAAAAGGGAAGGAGCGTGTGAGTGACTTTCAACAAAAAAAATTACCATATACGCATGCCCCTACAAAAAAAAGATAACGAGAGGAATTGTGCTAGGCTCTTATATATTTTTAGCCATTTGCAAATAAACATTCCATTTTCCGAAGCTCTTGAAGAAATTCCTAAGTATGCCAAATTCATGAAAGACATAATAAAAAAGAAGAAGAGATTTACCGACAAAGAAACCATTCCGCTCAATGCAAATTATAACGCCATTATCCAAAGTGTTCTTTCGTGGAAAGAAGGTGATCCGAGAAGAGTAGCTCTACCTAAAACTATAGGTAATGAACTCAATTTCAAAGCTTTGGTTAATATGGGTGCTAGCATAAACTTGATTCTCTTGTCTGTGGTAGGACAACTTAAAAACATGGAAATTACGCCAACAAACATGACTTTACAATTGGCGAATAAGTCAAAGACTCGTCCACAAGGAGTTGTGGAAGATATGCTATTGAAAGTTGATAAGTTCTTATTTTTGGTTGATTTTGTTGTCATGGATATGGAGGATGACGAGGATACACCGATAATTCTTGGTCGAACCTTTATGAAAATTACAAAAATGTTGATTGATGTTGATGAAGGCATTATGAAGGTGAGGACTCATGACAATGAGGTGTGTTTTACACTCTTTAAAAGTGTAGTGTATTCTAATCAAGTATAGGATGGTTTTCAATCGAAAAAGTAAGATGAAAATGCAAGGATTGCAAATGTGAAAAAGAAGAATGAAGAGGCTATGAAAGCAATGATGAGGTTTTGTTGGGATTTTTCATTCTTGAAAAAAGCTGGAAGAAAAACTGGACATGACAATGGTTGAAGACCTTTGTGTATAAAGGGTTTGATCTGGTAGCTTTTAGCTTCTTTGTGCATCCGTGTTCTCATCTTCGGACCGTTGAGCTCAAATAACGTTAAATAAATCACTAATTGATAGGCACCCAAACATTGTACGCATTCTTTCATCTTTATTGCATTTGTGTTGATTAGTATAGTTGAGAAGTTTTGTGGTAAAGTGATAAGAAAATGTGTTTTATTTTTAAATCCTGTCTCATTCGCCTTGTGTTCGCAGTGCGAACATGGGGCAAATGCTCCCTTGGAGTTCGCAGTGCAAACAATGCGAATCTGGATAGAATTACACTTTTTCTGCCACATCACTTTTATGTTGGTTTTGTTTTTTTAAGTATGTGGGTCATTTTTGTGGGCCTAAAACACTTGTGTTCAGATTGTGTGGGGTTGTTTTCCATACTTCCCTCTCACATTTTTCATTCAACTTTTTTATTTCTCATATTCCACAAACATACACTTTTCTCTCTTCATTCCCAACTGTGCCAACCAAGTGCATTTTCAAGTTCAGAACTTCAATCCCATTTCCTCTAATTGCTTGTTCAGGGTTTGAATTTGTTTTACAATTTCTTTTTATTTTAAGAACATGATAGTTAGGTTTATGAACATTCTTGTGTAACTGAGCTTCTATGCATGTTGTTGTTGACATAGACTACTTGGTTGTGTTGGGAAACATATGATTATGCTCATATTTTAAATTCCATAAGAGTTAAGAACATGTTCTTGTTGTAGTTCAAGTTTAGAAATCTTTGTTAAGCTTTAGAAACTCTTGAAGTTTCATGTAATGTGTTCTTATTGAAGATTTACTGATTGATTAAATGTTAAGTCTTTCCCGGAGAATTAAAAACATGGTTTAAATTTTGCTTTTCCATTGTTGTTGTACCAGGATGAACCTAGAGGTCTGAAATTCTGCAGGTTTGCTATGGTTCGTAGTGCGAACCTGGGGTGAGCCCTCCCTTGGTTTCGTAGTGTGAACCTAACTCGAACATGACATCAACCTTATTTTTTCTGTTGTCTAGTTCATGCTTACTTTCTTGTTATCTACACCTTGCTTGCTGAAATTTTATCATGTTGTGGTTGGTTTGGTTCAGTTTTTAGTGCAGATGGCTCCTAAAATGGCAACCGCTTCAAAACGAAAAAAGACCACCAGAGGATCTACCTCCCGTCAACCACAACAATGGGGTTATGACACTGGTCATTTCAGAGGTCAGAAGCAGACGACTAGGTACCTCAGTTTGGAAAAAAAGAGGATTCATTCTAAGAAGAGTTTTAGCATTAATTCTGAAGGTCCCTTCTATGCAATAGCTTTGATATGGCATGGCAAGAAATGGGATAATTTGGTTCAACCCATCGATATCTTTAATGTAGATATGGTGAGAGAGTTTTATGCAAACACCCTCCCGGATGATGATGATGAGGTATTCTCTTGGACCATACAGGTATACGGAATGGAGATAAAATTCGATAGAGACACAATCAATTTGGTATTAGGTAAACCTCTTATTCTTAGGGAGTATGAGATTGATGAGTACCACCATGGTTTGAGGTTGCATAAGAATGTTGAAGAGTTTTCTAGAGCTATTTTGAGAGAACGAAAGTCAGTTCAGTTGAACCCATTTAGGGTTCCCATTCGATACAATAGAGAGGATATGCATCCTTTGCCACAATTGATCCTATTATTGGTTTTGTACAACATCAATCCAAGGTCGCATTCCTCCATCGTCCCCATTGATATCGCACACTTTGTACATAACATCCTTATCGACACACATATAGATGTTGCACGAATCATAGTGGATGAGATGAGAGTTGTAGTTGAGAGTGGCATCAAACCTGGGGCTAGAACTAATTGCCCTTTGGTTTTTTCCATGCCTAATCATGTCTTTATGTGTGCATGGGCATGCACGATTTCCATCTTGACAGAACATTACTTTGAATGCTCCCATTGACGATGCGTATGTTGCCAAGTACTGCAGGCCAAAAGGACAGAGAGCTAGAACAACTCTAGGTGCAGGTACATGTGTGATCTCTAGTTCTAAGGTTGCAAAATTCCAAGGATTTGACCCAAATTAGAGGGAGGTTTGAAAATATAATTGGGATTGGATGCAAGCTACCTATTGAGTCATGATCTTCATTTATGATTCTATGCAGCTCTTACAGTTACAGCACTGAGAGCCCATTGTTGATCATTTGATCATGTCTAGGCAGCAGTTCCTAGCACATGTCGGTTGGCCTGAGGCCATACCTTTTTTTTGAGAGGAAGCGGGTGGTGTAACTGATAATAACGAAGTTGGGGAGGATGAAGATGAAGATGTTGAGGGTGACAATGATGACGAGGTGACAAAGTTTGATTATGATGCAGACTAGTATGATTGTTGGTTTTTAGCATGATAAAAAGCTTACTTCCTTATGTGCTACAAAGTGAAGTTTTTTTAAGCTTTGATCATTGCTTTATTTTGATATTATTGTATTTTATTTTATGTTGTACATAATCTATGTATTGGGATCATTTTGATGTACTATGTACCACTTTTGGGTACTTTTGACAATTTAGTTTTATGAATTGAAGTGTTCACTTAATGAATGTTCAATTTTAGTTTATTTTATGGTTTTATTTGTTTTT